TAGCAAGATTAGCAAAATAACCCTCACCTAACTTTTCTAACCAGCAGACAGCTTCTGGGATACTTCAGTAATACAAACAAACCTCAGATTGCCATTGTATAGACAGTGAATATTTCACCCACTACAACTGAAGTCAATTTTACTATCCGGGTATTTTTAATGCATTTAGGATCAGTTTATTAATTTAAGTATATTTCTATATTTATTCACAATACAATAACAAAAGAATTCCCAGCAAACTTTAAAGGTATGAAGCTCTTCCTGGCATAGCATCTGTCACATTTCTGGATGGTTCAGTAAAGAATCCATGCTCTTTACATTAGATACTTGCTGCAGTTACAAAACATTTCTCACTTAGCCAAATTATTTTTCTTTTCCCCAAAACTGAACCTTAACAGCTCCACAGCAGGCTTTCATCATTGTGAGGCATTTAATCACCGTGTTAGTTTAAAAGTATGGAAGGAAAAAGTGCATTAAACATGAATGGTCTCTCTGCAGGCCTTTGGGACTCCTCACAGTATTTTTTTTAAACTGGCTAAGTTCAGCTTTACCAGTCATTTTCCAGCAGCCGTGCTGCACAGGCTGATACTTTATACCAGCTAGAAACCCCAAGTCCCAGAGCTTAACTCTGGCTCCCTTGGCAATCCAAAGACCTTATGCCATCCAGTGCTCTTCCTAGCCAGAGCCTCCGGCTCTGATGGCTCAGAGAGCAAACCCATATCCCTCTTTTAACACATGCAAATAACACACGGGAACATGCTGTCATGGCTGCCACCAAGAGGATTAACCTCTTTTTTATAATATTTTTTTAAGATAGAACAAATAACTGCAGTCGCATCACATCAATTCATCATGGCTAACAAAGATGTGGAAGACATTGCAATCACATCACTTAACTGCTGTGCCAGGTGGGATGAAAGGTCCCCACCTTTGCATATCAGGATTCTGAGTACTACTCAGCTTCAGGAAAGCTCTCCCCGTCATGTTGGCACCACTTTCCCCCAAAATCAACAAAGATGTATGCAGTGTTAAACTGCATTTCATTCCAAATGAGTGGCAAGGCATTTTATTTTGGCTTGCAGATGCATTTCATAAGGGATAGACACTGAATATTCTTGCCAGAAGGAGGTAAGAACAAGTGGGAGCAAGAAACTTGCTGCTGTGCACTAGCTGGTATAAGAATTATAGTGTTTACCTGGAAGAACTATTTTGGGGAATGCCAAAGGGAAATATATTATCACAACAATCTGCAATTGGGAAAATGGGCTAAATCATCTCCTCACTTAGCCCCAGAAACGTTGACTCGGATTTTGAAATACAAGCATTCATGCAGCAAAACCAAGGTTTCTAATGCTTGTGTGGGAGGACAGATGAAAATTCTCTCAATTTTAACCCACTTTATGAGAGTATTTTTCAATTCTGTGGCTTTTTAGAGAAGAAATAAAAAAAACCAAAGTGCATAATAACTGCATAATCTTTACCCCTCTTCTGTGCTTCTCCAGAGCACTAAGTTACAAAAATGTCAACTGCTGAGTTACTACATTAAAAAAAAAAAAGGGGGGGGGATACTCAAATGAGGAAAAAATAGCTAGGACACTAAATTTGGAAAGTGAAAGGGGGAGGGAAAAAATCTTCCATAAACTCAACCTAAATACACAACAATCCAGTTTAATCAAGCCCATTAATCAAGGGACATGGAGAAAAAAGCCCCATATCCTCACAAGTCTTACTCCTGCTTCCACAAAGCCCTGCAGCTTCATACCAGAAGCCACTAGTCTGCCACCCTCCTCAGTCCTATTGTTGTGTCCCACAAATATCCCCTCCAGGACTCACTCCTGCTAGTTGCCTCTGGGCTCAGAGAGAGTTGCACACCGCTGGATATCTAGGATGGAAGAGGACAGGGAAAGCTAGAGCCACTCCACACCTCTGTCTCAAGGCACAGGATGGAAGCAGAGGAGCCTGCGTCTGGCTCATTCAGCAGGAAATAACTAAGGAAGCTGCAGCCATTGTCAGAAGCACTAGAAGGATGTGCTTTAAAGAACAGAATACCCTCTATTCCCCACTTTAACACAGAAAAATTAAACACACATTTCTTTTTCTGGATTGTTATTATTATTATCATCATACCTGAAGATTACTGCTATCTGAAGTTCAGTTTCACCCTTATCTGTCAGCTCACAGACAGTAGCAGCAGCTCTCAGTGATCCTAAGGAGGACTTCATGTTATGTATGGCTGGCTACACACAAGGGAAAAGCATTTTCTAGGTTTCTCAGAACCCTCCACATAGTTCTGCCACAAAATAATTTTAGAAGAGACAAGAAAGACTTTAAGGAACACAGAATTTCCTCTGTCTATGGTGAAGTTCCTGAAAAAATAAATTTTACTTCACAGTATCAGCATGAATCTATCATAGAAAATCCCCCACTCAACAAACTGACCAGGAGAGCTACGGAACAACTGAAGCACAGGGGAAGCAAAGAATCACTTGTGACACCTTACAGGGAAGTCTACAGTGCCTTGTGCCCAGGAAGTGGGAAAATGAACATAAACATCCCCTTATTGCATCAGTCAGTGTAGACTCAATGCAATAAGCTGACAGAAAGGAGCACAGACTGTAAAAGCACGTGGGAAAGTATCTCCCTTTCCCCAGTTTCTCAAAGAGTGTATATGGTTTGGATAGTGTCCCAAATGAGGCCCAGAGGCAGCACTCTGATACCACTCAGGAGATCTATGAAACTCCTACAATAGTTGAAAATAGTAGGAGGAGAGAAGAGCAAGTAAAATCAGAGTACCTTCCACAACCTGAGAAGAGGAGAAATAGAGAAGAGATAAAAAGAATTCAACTGGTATTTAAACACAGGAAGTGAGGCAGAGATAGACAGAGGGAAGAATATGAAACTCTCGAAGTCAATTAGAAAGACAGCAAAGCAAATGGAAAGACAAACCAGCAATCCTCTTGGAAAAATGCAAACAAACACCCCAGAAGTGAAGCAATTTTATTTGGGCCTAGAAGACTCCAAAGTGCTGAAATTGCTTCTTAGCCCAACCTCTGCTTGAAAGACTTAATGGCAAAATTCCTTCCCCAAAGGTGAGCAATCAGTTCCATTAATCCTTCTGAGTCACCAAGATTCTCATTACAATGTCATTCTGAAGTTTGACCTAAATTAGCCCTTCAGGGAGAAAAGTGATCAGGCAAAGGGTTGAGGAGCACTTGTAGCAAAGGTGTGTAATTAAACATTGTAGCAGAGCACAGAAATATGCCTCTGATTTTAGAGTTAAGAAGGGATCCAAGTAGAACAAAGGATGTGCTCACCAAAAATATCTCCCTTGGGGCCAAGCACATGTTGAAACAAGAAAAGGCAGACCATCTGCAGTTACATTATTTTACTTTTCCTTATGCTCCTGTCTCAACTCAAGCCAGGCTTGGCCATTATTTTACAGCTGATGAAAACTATACATTTGTATTCTTAGAATAAAAACAAGGTTACACACTGAACTGTGTATCAGGCTTAGAGACAAATAATAATTTTCTTACATCAAATGGAGAGTTGTTATGAATTAATGGATTAAGGTTACTTTCAAGGGGGGGATTCACCACCATCAGAATTTAAACTGTAAAACCACTGAAATCCGTGATTGTGTACACACAATACCGCAAAAGTTTAAATACACTGCACTACCCAGCCAAAATCTCTCAGGAATCGCTGCCTACAGACTACACCATTCAGTCTACAGGAGGATTATGAAATCATCTTCACATCCAGTAGGAGGCAATAAGAAGTATGCACAACTTCAGAAAACATGCAGGATACCCATCGCACTGCACTGCTACACCCTTTGTTTTCAAGTACGGCTCCCGAATAACCTGTCCATCCCTAGCAGTATCGCCATGAATTAATGACTGCAGGGGCGATGCCCACAGAGCCTTTCCTGCGGTGCGCAGAGGATGTGGCTAAACCCATCCGTGCCAGGGCCTGAGCCAAGCTGAGACCGGCCACAGACAGTGCGGGGCACAGCAGCGATGCCACAGAACAGTCACTCTGTCCACTGCACGCTTGGGAAACCATCTACATCAGTGATGTCACTGCGGGGCTGCTCGACAGCCTAATAAAGCCCATTTTTGGCAACTCCTTGAAACACGCGTTTTAGTAGAAGCTTTAGCAAAGATCCTCAAAACGATTAACAAGTTCCCAGGAAATGCAGCGAAGATGATAACCGCTCTGGAAAGGAGGGGAGGATGCCCGCTCTCGAGCACGGGCCTGCCGAGCAGCACCCGCCGGGGAAAAGCACCGCAGGCACGGCACGGCACAGCCCAGCCCAGCCCGCCTCGGCTCAGCAGAGCCGCGCTGCCCCTGCTCACCCCAGGGCCGGGCACCGACCCTCCCCATTCCCTGCCCGGGAGCCCCAGGAGCTCCCGGCACCCAGGGGCGGGGCTGCGGCTCCCCACGGCGGCCGCGCACCTGGTGAAGGCGAAGGCCATGAGGCTGAGGATGGTGAAGCTGAGGAGGGTGATGGTGTGCGGGCGGTAGAAGAACTCCAGCGTGATGTCCTCCACCTGCTGCTCGTTGATCATGCGGAAGTGCAGGCGGTAGTTTACATCGTCCTTGCTCAGAGTCCGGCTCCCCACGCACGACGCCATCTCGTCCCCTCTCTCCCCTCGTCTCAGCGCAGCTGTGGTTGCGCGGGGCGGCGCGGCCCGAACCAGCCCGGCCGCCCGTGCCGCGTCCCGCCGAGCGCAGCCGAGCGGGCCGAGCGGGGCAGCGCCGCGCCCGCCGCGCCGAGGGGCGGAGCTCGCCCCGCCGCGCCCACGAGGCGAGGGAGGGAGGGAGCAACGGAGCGCGGGATGGGGGGAGAGGGGCCACAGCGCCCCTTTAGAACACGCGGAGAGAAGACGCTTGTGCCTGCTTCCCCCCCCCCGTTTCCTCCCGAGTGGTGTGGCCCGGGCCGGGCCACGGAGCGGGGCGCACACGTGGGTCGGGCCGCGCCGTGCGGCGCAGGTGAGGCGCCGGTGGGTCCCGCTGATCCCAGGCTGGGCGGCACTGCCCCTTCTCCCGCAAGCTGCAGGCAGCGACTGCCGGCGTGGGGAGCCCTGCAAGGGGAGGGCGGCGAGCGCGGCGAGCGCGGCTCAACCCGGCCTCAACCCGGCCTCCCCGCCCTGTGGCGAGTGTGCGGTGGTGGCTTTACGCGGAGGGCCCTGTCCCCCTGGGAGGGTTCAGGTCCTGGCTGGGCTTCCCCCGTGCTCCCAAGGGAACGGCTGTCGGACAGGGCGGGCGGTGGCCTTCAGATCCGTTCCAATCTCTCTCATCTCCTCCGTCTGTCGCGCGTTTAAAGCCTTAAGGCAGCTACATGGTGCTTTGTAGTGAGGGATTACTGTAACGCCCAGGCATTCACGCTCCAGGCCCTACGGCGAGGCAGGCAGCACCTGTGTCACTCCGAACCCTTTTCTCCCTGTAGGATGCCGTGCTGAGGTGGGTGATGGCGCTGTGGGCTCGGCACGTCTCCCGCTGGTGTTGCCTGCTGGGCACGGCCCGTGCTGTTGAGCTTCCTCGGAGGCTGAGGAGTCGCGGCTGCGCCGCTCGGGCCTGCCGTGGGTTCGCCCCTGTGGCTGTGCTGCCCGCTGGCAAGGAGCTGGTTCTGTGCAGACTGCAGGCATGCAGGCAGGCGTCTGTAGGAAACTGTTCCCCGCCCGACAGCGCCAAGGGTGGATCCTTCTCTTCTCCCGAAAGTAACTTGCCTTCAGTACAACAGGAACAAGCAAAAGTAGAAACATTACCTGATCTGAATGCAAAAATACTGGACGAAGGTAAGAGGCTTTAAGGGATAGCATTTCTCCCGAATCTTCAAATTATGTTTTCAGTATGCTGCGGTTTAATCCCAGCTGGATTCTCCTTTTTTGCCCTATTTGCCTAAAATATCTGAAGTTCCTAACTTTCACGTCATATTAGCTTCGTAGTTAATTCAGATATTTATGGTCAATGTAGCACGCAAAGAATACCTTTAAAGGTATAATGTTTTGGGTAGAAACGTAGGTCTGGAGCTGCCGTTTGAAGGAGTTTTCATAACCCTACCTGTTTGCCTTTCCCTCAGAGATGTGGTGGTACAAACTAAACGTTTTTTGGGGGGGGGGTGGCCATTTGTTTGTTTTGTTGGTTTTTTGGTGGTTTTTTTGGTTGATTTTTTTTAGAAATTTTTTTTGTTGTTTGGTTTGGATTTTTTGGGTTTGTTTTTGTTTTGAGCGGGGCTGGGAGATTCCACCCCTGAAGCAGCTCGCAGTGTTTGAGGGATCAGGGATGACCCACGGGAGGCAGTAGTGATGCCTCCTTAAGCACTGCCCTGAGGAGAAATGCTCACCCAACTGTCTTCTGAGGAAGGGAGATAAATACAAAGGCGCCTTGGAGTCGTTGCCTTGAGGAAATTTACTTTTTGCCTTCTACTTTTATATCTAAAAAACGATTATAATATTTCCTTTCAAATTACTTTAGGTATGCTGAGGAAACTTGCTCTGAATTACTAAGCAGCTTTGTATGTTCAGATTCTGCTTTGAGCCCAGCCTACCTGGCTTGTACAGAGCTTATTATTTAGGGTGTCTCAGAGCTGCAGTGGAGATCTGTGTGTGTAGCTGGTTCTGAAACCAGTGCTGCACCAAAATGATGGGTCAGCTAGCCAGTATGTGGCTGCACCTTCGATGCAGTTTATCCACATGCCAGATTTTTATCTGCCAGCAGACTGACTGAAGAATGTGTGTGTGTGTAGCATTTTGCCCAGCTGACAGTCTATATAATGGAATAAACATAACTGATAATTTTGGGGGGTTTTGATAACATCAAGTATGCTTCCCAATAGGAAGTCTAAAGACCTTAAATTGGCAATAAAAGACATGCATGTTTCTGGAATGGACTTTACTGTATATTGGTTTGGTCCTCAACAAGTTGAAAAAAAACACTTGATATTCCTATAGATTCCTAGAGAGTTCCTGTTCAATGTGTAAATGTTGCTGAAAACATTTTACTGTGCTTTTGTTTCTGAGGGTGTGAGAAAAAGACAAGACCTTCAACAGCTATCAGGCTAGTCTGTGCAACTCTTCCTAGAGCATTAGGCACATCCTAATTATTTTGGAATCTGTCATAGTAGAGTTCCAGTGTGCCTTTGTTTCTTGACAGGGAAGAGTGTTATCCTGGTCTCTAGGAAGCCGTTATACACAGGTGTAGAGCACAGAAAATCCCCTTCCTGAATAAGTTTATAATCAGGGCACCTGATCAATAATCAAACTGATAATTGATGTGGATGCTAGGAGCTAGCCTGCAAACAGTAATCTAAATCTTGCTGCTCTGAGCTCCTGTCAATGGAAAACCAGATCTGTTTAGAGAAATTTTTTTAAAAGACACTGAGTTCTGTGACTTGAAACACTTAAGGGAAAACAAGCATAATGATGTTCCCTTTGAAACCTTAGTGAGTAGGAAATTATTCATTTTGCTGTTAGAGATAGTGGCAGTCAGCTGCCTTTCTGTAATGGATAAGACATAATAGCTTGGCTGGAGTTGGCTATGAAATACATTGAAAGTTAAAACAGCTGCCTTTCAGGCGTCACATTCAGGAGCCACAAAGTAGTGGGCTTCTCAGGTTATGGAAAATAATCTTTGCAATGGCCTTTTATCTGGCTGTGATCAGGTAATAATGCATTTGTGAGGACATGAAAGATGATCCTTTTCCAGAGAATGATGTGATTTGTTGTCTGCAGTGGTCTAGGTAGCAGACTGAAGGCAGGCATGCTGGGTACTACTCTCAGATTTGGCCATATGAGTAAAAGTTGATGGGCAGTGACCAGGAGATGGAACAGAGGCAAAAACTGGGAGCAGGGTCTATGTTTTTATGTTTTCAAATGATAGGTTGGCTGTTTATCACATGGCACAGTGTTCTGGCATTTTGAAAAGGATTTTAAGAGATCTGTATAGCATTTGGTGGGGGCAGCTTTGTCTTTCACAAAATGCATTTGGGTCTTCTGTATTTGTTTCTTAGACTGGGATGACATCCCACCTTCATCTGCTTTGGAAGTGATTTCTGAGGAAGAAGCTGTACAGATCATTGCAGAACCGCTTGTCCCCATTCAATCTTCCACACTCAGAGATTATGTTGATCACTCAGAAACCCTTGAGAAACTTGTCCACCTAGGTATGTATGATTTTGTTTGTGTGGTCTGCCTATGGCAGGAGGTTTGGAGATCCTGTAATTTGTGCTTTGGTCTTACTGGTTATCTTGTAAACTTGAAAATGGGAACAGTGACCAATGGTAAAAAGTTGCAGAATGTTATCTGAGGTAAATGGACAAAAAGAGGGGATGTGTCACTAGCAATGCCATACTACTGGGAAACAAAGCTGGCTTGTCATAGTCCCTTAGTGCTGTGGGTGTTAGAAGGAGGCATCTCGCACAGCTTCAGGTGGTGGGGATCACTGTGTAATTTGTCTTTCTTCTTTTGGGCTGATTTAGGATGCTTTAATTTTCTGCAAAACAATTTGCAGCTCTCTATCCTTGGAAGGAAGGAAAGAGAATGGTTGCTACGCGTAATCTTAGGGGTGAGGCACTGCACACTGGAGAGGCAAGAAGGAAGGGATGGACAATAACCCGAGTTCAAGCTTCCTGACCACCAAATGTGCAAGGAAGACTAGAAAGAGGTTGGAGAAGTTAATATTTGAGAGGGGGAATCTGTCTCCATGTAGTAAGAAATGGCCATGTGTGAGTCAGTATACAAAATCTCTTCGCTGCAAAATTGTCCTCTTTTATAACAGATTTGGAAATTTCATGCACGCATACTTCTTGCAACAAGAGCAAGTTTCTAAATGTGGCACGTGCAGGATTCACTGCAAATGTCTTCCTTCAAAAAATAAACTCAGCAAAAGCTTTGAAATGACTGCTTATTTTATCTAGAGTCTTTCCACAATATACGAGGTGTTGTAGCCTTGTTGTGTTCAGTAATTAAAGTATGCAAAATCAGTGCAAAAAATTGAGTAGTCCTATAAATTCCAACATGCCTTTGTGAAACATTTACAGATAGCAAGGTCTGTGTTTAATTAAAACAATTTCTAATTTTGTTTGTTGTAGGAGTTGACTTATCCCAAGTGGAGAAACGTCAAAAGGCAGGTCAGCTCTTACTGACCTTGGACTTTGAAAAAGATGTAAAAAAAATCCTTCTGTTTCTTAAGGATGTGGGTGTAGAAGACAATCAACTAGGAGCCTTTCTGACCAAAAATCCATATATCCTTGGTGAAGATCTGGAAACTTTAGAAACCAGGTAAACCTTTCAAGTAGTAGTAGGGTGTTAAGCCCCTTGGCTTGAAGATTTGGTTTCCCAGTTGGTTTAACCTTGTCTGAAGGAACCTGTGCTGCTTGCTGCCTCCTTTATTACTCAATCCCTGGCTCCATGTTCTTGTGCCTCCCCATCTGTTGGCACTAACATGTGATGGTATCATAAGTCAACACCTTCATCCACCTGAAAACTGTCTATTAACAAATTTTGTTGCCCATCCCTGTCTCTCTGCCACAGAGGAAGCAGTTTGCCATCTTAGGCCACTTGCTTTACTCTTGTCAGCTTTCTTTCCAAAATGACATCCCTGAGGCTTTACATAAATTTGTAGAACAATATTAAACTCTTCAGTCACAATTTGAAATGTCATGAATTCTGCAATCAAAGAAGCAGGCCAGATCTCTTCTGTGTTGACATCTAATAGCAGCAGGAGATTTTGGTGACATTTTTTTCCTGTTGTCCAGCTGAAACTCAACACTACAATGAACTAATTTGTGTGTGTGTTTGTTCACAATTGTATGGCCCTAAACTGTTCTTCAGTCCTCAAAATGAACTTTTTTTATAATATTACTCCTAATTCAACTGTTTTTTTTTCAGAACAACTCGTGTGTATCTATGTGCATGTTTAATGAACTCAAAATTTCCCTGTACTCCAGAGAAGAAAGTCTGTTGTCTTGGCTCTTGTATGTAATAGCATTTCTGTCTGAAACAGAAATCTGAAAGTACACGTATTTAGAAACAGGCACATGAGTAGACTCTTGTATAACATCGACCCCTGTTTCCCCTCTGTTCTTCTAATCTTGTGTTCAATAAATGGCCTTTCATAAACAATATCTAAAAAAATGCTGTGTCATTTTCCAGCAGAAGTTTTGAGTCTAGATATCAGAGCCTATTGCTTACGTTCTTCTGAAGAGAGGTTTGGGGGTTTTTTTGTGATAAATGTCCTTCCATGAAGTCAGACTTTATTTTCAGTGACACTGCTTTGGCACTGGCTGGTTAGTGAAATAGGGGCTAAACAGAGCAGTCTGATTTCTTCTTAATTTTCTGCAGTATGATTATTCTGTAAGTTTTAGACTGGTGAATGATTTCCTGCATGCTTTAAAGTAAGTGTGCTGTAAAGGCTGTGAAGTGTGTCTCAGCTGTCTTTTGAAAGCTGAGTATCACCTTTGCATAAACAGTTTGGTGCAGATGGATGTGGTATTGGTTACATCACTCTGGAATGTTTTATTGCTATGGATTCCATGTTGCCAGGAAACAAAACACAAATTTCAATACGTTTGGCATTTGACTTCAGATAAACACTGTAAAAGTCAAAACATTCCATAATTCCTAACAATTTTGACAGTTGCAAATCAGTGTCTGTACTGCAGCTGCACCAGATGCTTTGTTTTATGCTGGTGTTAATGATGATTTAAAACTGTTAACATGCTACATAGAGCTGCTGACCCCTGTAGTAGAACAAGGGCTAATCTTGGTGCCAGCACTCACAGATGTATCTCAAACTTTGGTCAGGTTGGATAGTTGTGTTCCTTTAATATACTAGTTTCTAGAATCAGGTGCCAATCTTGCCATCTCTTCCTCTTTAAGTTTTTTGCCTTTCCAGGAAGAAATGCTTCAGGTGTGAATTTTAATGACATGTTAACAGAAAACGAGTGGAGTCAGGACAGCCAAAAGATTTGATTTTAAATCTGCTCATTTAGCTGTTTCTGGGATGCTTGGAAGCTGTGCCAGTTCCATTGTCATTGTCTGGAGCTTAGGATGTCTGTGTTGGGGGTGCCTGCTTAATTAGGAATTGGTCCTCTAAAGCTTGTTGTTATATCTTCCATCTGGGAGTTTTTGGCTTCTGATAACTTAATTTCTGAGGATTTGTAGAGAGAGGGAAGTTGTAGTGACTGGAAGGTAATTTTTTTTCTCTCCACAAGACATGGTTTAACAAAGAGCCCATTTTTTTGCTGAATATCTACTTCTGCAGAATATTCTGCAACCCATTTAGTCTCTTAATTACTACCAGATAAACAATTCTTGTATGCTCTAAGTTGATCTGACTGCAAATACTTCTCATATTGCAATTACTCTCATCTATAACCAGAGGAAGCCTCTCCAAATTGTAGTTTAGTTGTTTAGTACATGGTAGTATGTGGATTGTGTCTCTTTACTTTGTGTGCTGTATTTTCCTCTTCATGCCTTTTTTTCTGGGAACTATGGTAATCATCTACTGTAAGTGGTACTTGAAATAGGATTTCACTTTCACTGAAATCAACAAAGTTTGGAAAAAGTTTTGACTTTGAAAGAAAGCAAGCAAGCTCTGTTAAATATCAAAACTTTAGTCAGCTCCTCTTGCTTTCTGATGACCACATATTTGTTACTCATTTCTGAGACCAGTGACTGAAAGTAGGGACCTATTTGCAGCAAACATAACTTCAGCTGATGTAGAAACGTCTTTTTCAACAATATCTCTGCACGCAGCATCATGGTATGATATTTCTACTCCAATGCTATTGGCAAAACAGGAATGTATGAGGTGTAGCACTCCGTTCTTTCAGCAGTAGAAATGGAATTCATTAAAATAGCAAAAGGCTGTATATATCTTCTTGTCCATACCCTATGATGATCTATTAATGTGTTTGCAATCTAGGAGACAGACTGGTAGTTAAATGTAGGTTAACATAGTTATCTGCTTAAGTACAGCTGGAAGGAATTAAAATCTGTCTTCAGTATTGACATTCTGCTCTGAGGTTTATTTTACTTCTAATTAATTGGAAGGGAGGGTATTTTGCTTTTACGATAACTGCAGATTTCACCCTAATTATTTTTGGCAGGGTTGCATGTTAATGCTAGAACATCTGTCCATTTATAAGATATCACTGAGGAATTTAAGTGATCACTGAATAAATGGAGGCAATAAAATTTTCATCACTGGATTTTATTTTGTTTTTGTTTTCTTTCTAGAGTGGCTTACCTAAAATCAAAAAAATTTGGTAAGTCAGAAATTGCTCAGATGGTCTCAAGAGCTCCATATTTGCTGTTGTTTTCAGTGGAAAGACTGGATAACAGACTGGGTTTCTTCAAAAATGAACTTGGTCTCAGTGTAAAAAAGGTAAAGACTGAAGTCTTCAGGTGTTTTGTTAGTGACACTTGTAAGGTCTTGCAGTGTGAATACTCCAAGTGCTTGGAGGTTATCAACAAACATTGTGTTATCATCAGAAATTTCACTAGAGGATTACAGGAGGGTAACACGGTTTTAATTGTCTATAGAATTGATATGGACACCTAACATTCTGAGGACCTGAAGTACAATTTCTGAAGATGATCAGCTGCTGCAGGCTATTATCAAATAAGCATGTGTATTTCCAGTTTATTATTTAAGGTGGGTCAGAGGACTGGATGGATTATTGAAACAGCAAGCAGCTCTTTTAACTTCTGGAAAATTATTTGGTGCTCTTCATCTCTTTAAGCTACTGTAACATACTTAAATCATCATTTAAGAAATAGTCTAATCTGTGAATATTGTCTCAAGATAAATGCCAAATCATATGTTCAGCTCACCAAGAGTGACCTCTGAGCTTGCTCATGAGTGCATAGTGGGTATTTAGCACCATGCTTTGAGATCTTCAGGGCAGGGAGTAGCTGGACTTGCCTGGAGTAAGTGGGCAGTGTTAGTTTTGTCTTGCTGCAGGTGGGAATTGCAATGAATGTCAAATTTCAAGTGGAATCTGGGGTTCTTCTATTAGCTGAACAGTCATAGCTGCTACAGTGCCCTGTTGCTGGCCTTTCCATGTTTGAGGTGAGAGACTTGGAAAAGGGTTTAGTCACTATCTTGTACTCAGGGTGGATTACAAATAATCAGACACTTCAGGGAATGTGGAGTAATTTCTTGTAGTGCTGTTACACTGTGGTCTAACCAGATTCTGAAGTTAGCTCCACTTCCACTGAAAAATCCTTTTATAGCCTCCACTGGGTAGTGTGTTGTTTACTTTTTTAAAAAGATGGAAAGAAACAGCTTAAGGGCTGAGAGAAATTGGGCACTTGAGCAACTTTCACCTTTTGAGGCATGCTTTTACTCCCTCTTCCAGTCTGCTTTACAATTGTATTATTTTTTGTTTTCCAAAATAATATATTTAAGTCAATGTTTTGCACCTTAATATATTGCTGCTTCATGCAAATTCATCTTTGGTGTAGAGATGAAATGCAAAAAAAATAAGTTTAGATAGGATCTTTCTTTCACAGATAAATTTACAGAGAAGTCTTCAGTAAAACTCTTCAATTTATGTGTCTGTTCTGATTGTAGACAAAGGATCTGGTAATTCGTCTTCCAAGGCTACTGACTGGCAAATTAGAGCCTGTAAAAGAAAATCTTCAGGTGAGCTTATGAATGGATAATAAAAGTGTATTGTATATCCATATAATTTAAGAGTTGTCAGAAGATAAAAATTCCTGTAGGGGATTGTGTACAGAAGTAATTTAATGAAATAATTTTAGTGGTGATATAAAATAACTGTTAAACAATGTCTTTTCCTCTATAGCATGCAAGCTTACCTAGTACATGGAGCATTATTCTTATTCTGTCTTCTACTCTGATGTAGTGCCTTCCTGCCAAAAGTTGCTATATGATGACATAAATGGTTGCCCATTTTTTAATGAGTAGAAAAAAACTCTGTTTTTTTTCCCTCCCTTAATTATTATGGCTTTTTGCTAACTTGGATTGTCCATAAGTATTTAGGAGCAAAAAATGTGCAGTTGATTATTTTTCTCCTGGCAGGTAACTAGCCTGCCAAAATGTGCATTTGACACCTATTGTTTGATAGCAGATGGTCGTTATTAACAACTGTTGGGTAAATAACTTCAAACCCATGGGGATTCCTTTCCCTTTTGAAAATGTAACTGTGTATTGGTTTAATTACTGTGCTGTAAAGCCATCGAGGCCAAACAGCATGATGTCGTGTAACAATTTGTGAAATTCCATTATCCTATAACAAATAACTATGAATCAAAATGTATAATTTTCAGACAGACTCATTGCTCTAAAAGCTATTAAACACTAGAAATCTTGCAATCTGAAATGTGTGTGTGGTAAGGGAGGAGACTGGAAAGTAGCAGACTGTTCTAATTAATAGTGCTTTCTTTTTAACACACATTGTTTCCACAGGCTAGGGAGCCATTATTATAATAAATGTGTTTTTAAGATCTTCAGTTCTATGTGACTATCTTGTTTATCTACCAAGAAATACAGCACAGCACCTCTATTTTTAAAATGAGTGAGAGAGGGAAAGAAAGGAAGGATTTTTAGGTCCTCACTGTTGGAATCTAGCAGTTCTTAAAAGCTCAAGCTTTTCAGGAGGTTGGATTCAGAATCTGTATGTCCTAAACCGGTGGTGGGAGGACAGTACTTGGAAACTGAAATAATGTACAAACAGTTCAGAAGTGATCAGGTTGTATCCTTCATTGTGAATAGACTGTTATTTAGAAACAAGTACAGTAGCTGATACTGGTTGTCCTAAGATACCAGTCATGGACTAAATGTGCTGAAGGATGGCTTAGTCCATCCTCTGAGGGTTTCATCAAGCACACTTAGAGATTAATTTTCAGAGTAAAACCTGAAAGCTTGCATTACCACTGCCTATTGTGGGAATTAATACATACTTTGTTGAGTATTGCTGAGGCTTGCACAGGATATTAGCGTGTGTGGCCTAGAGAATTATTGAATATTAAATATGTTAGCTGCCAGACTGAGTGCAGTCAAAGCAACTTACACTTGAGCTCACCAATCGTATTGAGGGAGCTGTTCCATGTCACAGAGTAGGAGTGAAAAGCTCAAGATTCTTGCCACAATTACCTCTACAGTGGGCCCAACTTTATATCTGCAGTGATTTAACACGGGATCTTAACTCTGATTATGCAGGAAGTTACCCCTGCCAACTCAGGTCCATGGAAGATACCACTCATGTGCAAACACTTATTTTCATACTTGAATACTGTCTTAGTTGATCGGTATTTTGTGTGGTGCACAAATATTTATAAAGCAGGAAACTTGAAATGAGGAGTTGAAAGACCTGATTATAGGTTGCCTCTAGAAACAGTTCCCTGTAAGGATTTGGAACCCAGATTCTAAGCCCTTCCCTTTGTGTTTGACAAGCAGTTCTGCAGAAGAGCTGCAGTCTTGGCACATCAAACTGGGCAAACAAAAGCACCACCTTCTTGCCAATTGAAGTACCTTAGTTTGATGTGAAAGTCTGGTTATGTTAACTGGGAAGCACACCCACTTCATAACTGAAAACAAGCTGCTTGTAAGTGTCACTGGAGGATAGAAGAAATGACTGAGTTAACAGACACTCTTGTATGCTGAATTCTTTCTCAACAACTCAATGAATTGCTTGCCATTCTGCACTTTGGGAGGAGTGCTCATGATTTTATTGAAAAAACGTGTTATGTTTTCCCTTTGGGAAATAATAATTGAAGTCAAGGCAGTCTCTGAAAAAGACATCTTACTTTAGACTTTATTGAACTGTAGAATAAATTGAATACATCAGATATTCTACACATCTCTTTTAGATTCAGCAGTCTTAAATTGAAGACTATAGAAACTATACTCCCTATTATAAAAATGTAACTTGGATACATTAGCAAAATTAGGCACTAGCTATTTGATTGCTGTTTTACAGAGCTCAGCAGCTCCACAGGAAGAAAGTCTCTTGACAGCTTGGTATTGAAAATGATAAAGGACTCTTAGGGGAGAATTTTTATGCTTGTAACTGCCATACATATGGAGACATGGTTTTTTTGTTCATACCTCAGACAAGCTGAAAAATACATAACATTCACAGAAGTCATCTTTATTTTGGAGATATTCTATAAACAAATCTAGAACGATCTGACTTGAGAAGAACTGAAGTGGCAGATATTTTTGTGGTTTACATTCTTGTTGATGTGTTCAAAAGGATAGAAGAATTTTGCATTAGTTTATTTCAGTAGCACATTAAAATAAGCTAAGTTTGCTGTAGCTGACTTGTGAAAATAAAACTGTGCTCTTTTTCAGGTTTGTCAAATTGAACTTGGCTTTCAACGTAATGAAATTCAACAGATAGTGTATAAAACTCCCAAGATTTTAACTGCAAGTAAAAAGAGACTCAAACAGACATTTGACTACTTACACAACATAATGGGCATTCCCCACCACATGCTTACTCGCTTTCCTCAGGTGAGCTGTTAATCTGGGAATAAATTATAGGTGTTCTTGTCACAGCCACTTCACTAATGTGCTGAAAGTGGAGCCTTGCTCTATGCAGAACATAAGTGAATTCTTCAGCTAGCCTGTGGCTTTTACTTTAGTTGGGATAACTTTTATTAGCAATCCAGAAACGATTGAGGATTTCAGTGTGGAACTGCTGCTTTTTTCCCTTAGTAAATGTGACATCACTACCTGCAATCCTGTGAATTTTAAGATTTTCATGCTCATCTCTTCTGTATTCATGCAAGAGAGATTACTACCTGTTTAGGGATTTGCTTGTCCTGAAATCTTACCTAAGAGACACAAGAGAGAGATTATACAGAAGATCTGTTCATTAGATAACATTACATCTATAAATACACACACTTCTTTGAAGTTTGTCTATGTAAAAAATAAGTTTTAGAAATTTTAGGATCTGAAAATAGAGTGTAAAGGTAAGAGAAGTTCTGTCCATTGGGCAATCAGGTTCTCATTGGTCTTCTTATTGCTGCAGCAATTGCTAAAATACCATGGGATTGAAAATAGATTAGTTTCCTGATTACTATTTTAGGGTTTTGTTCTACCTCCTCATTACTGCTACTTCCTCACAAATTAAAAGCTGAAAGTTTTAGTCACTTCATTCAATGCTGATATGCAATTACAGTATCTTCTTACAAGGTAAAAATAAAAGCACAAATTACAGCTTCTGAATGGCAGTAATTTTCTTTCTAAAGGAAGTCTAGTAGAGACTCTTAAGTGTCTAGAAATCAAAAATTGCATGGGGAATAAAACTACTCCTCAGGATTTTGATTTTCTTGCTATTTAATATATCTTTACTGAACAAAGATGCTTGCTCTAATGCTCATCTGTGTCACTTTGCCCTCCTTGATCTGTAAATGACCACGAGTTTTGCTCACTTCTTCTCAGTTGTCTTATTGTTGGCTTTATGGTATTTAATCTCATTATTTTTCTTCCTCTGTTTGTCAGGTAAGTGGAGAGTTTCCCCTGTTTCTTGTTCTTGGCATAGTCTCTCCTTCTCTTTCCTGTTCTTCCCTTTCACCCTCCAAAACTGTGAGTTCCAGAATACAGGTAGTTCACATCAGTCTATATATGGTTGGGCCTTTAAATCTGTGTGCATTCACAAATGCATATTTATCTGCATCTGTATTCACTTCTATCCTGAATGACAGTTATGTTGAAAATAGAAAGTATACAGAATTCTTTTGGTCAAATTCTCTCTGATGTTAGAGTGCTCTTGTCTTTCTGTCAGCTATCTCCATAAACGGTGCTTAAGTGTTTGGGGATTTTTTCTCCTGCATTCTGACTCCCTCTTAAAATTCAAGGAAGGCAGACAAGGAACAGTAGTTTTGTTTTTCCCTCCTTCTTCAAATTAGTTTGTATCCTCATGGAATTCTTCTTCCATCAGTGGAGTCTCTTTTTTAGTAAAATCTCTGCTTCCTATAGCATTCACATTTTCATTATTATCTCCTCTATAGCATCTCTCTCTATTCAGTTGTACTGCTCAGAAATGAACTTAGACCTTTGCTTTTATGACTTAATTGTGCATCTCCTCCACTTCCCTCTCTTTTTAAATGTTCTGCTGCTTTCTTTTGTATTTCCCCTACCATTGTTCTCATCCTTGTCTAGATTTTTTTTTTTTTTTTGTGGCAGGTATCTTCAAAGGTAGGCATTGCTATGCATCAGAAGACAAATGGTTGTTTTGAACCACCACACTGTGCCTTTCGGCCATGCTATGATGGCAGGAGTCACATCCACTCACCTTTGCCCTTGCCACTATGCCAACTTGTTGTCTGCATTATGCCATGTGGTCACCTCTTTCTTCATTTCTTTCTTGTAAAAGTGGTCATTTTAATCTGTCTGATGCTACAGGGAAAGTGCTCCCTGTTACTGAATGCCTCCACTTTCTTGGCTCTGATTACACAAAAGTAATATAGTCATGTGTTTGAGAGTTATTTCTATATTAGGTTTTTTGTATCGCTCCCTGTTTTCTGTTGTGTGTCTATGTCAGCATATTGTATTGAAGTATTTATTTAGAATTTAGATAATTTATATATAAATGTAACCTACTTGGTGTTTGACATAAATTAAAGAAAAATTAGCATATTATTTGTTTGCTTCCTAGACCTTCAGTCTATCTAAAAAAGGCTCTCATTTTCAATGCCTCAAGTTCTGAAATTTAGATAACCTAAAAAATTCTTCCCTTTTTTTCTTTCTTAGGTTTTCAACTCAAAGCTATTACGAATCAGAGAGAGGCATATGTTTCTTGCCTTCTTGGGAAGAGCCCAGTATGACCCAGCACAGCCCAGCTACATCTCTCTGGATCAGCTGGTATCCTTGCCCGATGAGGTGTTTTGTACAGAGATTGCCAAAGCGTCTATGCAGGACTTTGAAAATTTCTTAAAAACACTTTAATTAGTAACACATGTAAAAAAATTCTAGAATTAAGTTACAAAATAAACATAATTTATAAAACTACTTCCCTTTAAGGTCTCAACTTTTTAATTACTGGTTTAAGAAGTCATTGTTTATGAAGTGTGTAGGATTTAAAGGCTCCCAGTAATACTTTTAGTAACTTAAAAATGTTTCAGAAGGATTGAGCCAATATGTTGATTGCTGCTAATGCAAGCCTTGTAATTAATCACTATGTTAATTCAGAGTAGATGATGCAGCACATTAACAGAAAGGTAAATTCAAAGTCTTCATTTTTTTCTTTTGATAGTGGCAGAATTTTGGGAGATTGGAAAACTGGCTAGTGACTTATTCCTTGTCTTACCCTCTGTTTTCTCCTTTCACCCTCTTCCCCAAAAGTTAGAATAGCAAGATAGTAATAAATAGCAAGTGGTAATAAAGTAGAGTCATGTTTACCTGCTTGAGCTAATATTGTTATTATTTTCCTTGTATGGTAGAAAGAATCCCACCATTAATATGTGAAGCTCCTCGTATAGAAAGGCATTCTTCCAATAGGTTACAAAGGTGTTTCCTTGTGAAGCTAGCTGCTGAAATTAGAATCCTAAAAGGTGGTTAGAAATGTAATAAAAACCAAAACCCAGCAAACTTAATTTAGGCAAATTATAAAAAGAAAATAAATCTCTTATTGGCCCTGAAATCTAGAACTTTATTTTAGTTACTTTTCTCTTCCTCTTGTTCAGTTCCCCCCCTCCCAATACCAATGAGATTTTTGTGGCTTTAATATACAAGTAACTATATGAAAAGAGGCTGGAGTGTATATTAAGATGATAGAGTTGGTCAGTTGTAAAATCATGGGCATATTGAAAATACTTAATCTTATCATTAAACAAAGCACATTAATATGGAACTATCAAATGCTTCACAGTGTACTGGGAAAAATGAAAAAGCTGCCTAAATCCACACACAAACTGTCTGATATTGTTTAGAAGTTTCCATTTCTTCATTAAAAACGGTTCAGGTAATCTGAAATCCAGTTGTTTTAATTTGGATTTAAACATATTTAATGAAAAATCCTCAATGTTTTAAAACCTAATTGTTGAACCTAAAAATAGTAATTTTTATGCACACAGAATAAAATTCAGAATGTTAAATTCTATTAATAGGTGGGAAATAAAGTAAGGTCAAAGATACTTAAAGAATTAAAATAGTAGTGATCTCTGGATTATGACTTTGGATAAATTCTTATTCATCCAAATTAAGAATTTCAAAAAGAAATGCTTGAAACACTTTGAAAAACCACATTCATTGTCTGCAAGATATATCTGAGATTATCTCTTTTGTTTTTTCCTCATGTTTCCTGTTCCATTGGCCTGGAACAATTGCTTGAAATACTCTATTAAATAGACTTTTCGTGATGGAGATACGTAACAAATTTCATGGTGGCTAAAATGTGATGACTAAGCACTTTACCCCACTTCCTCCTGTTTAAATAAAAGTATCCAAGCCCAATATGCTTATTTGGATTTTTGACTGTATTAAATGCTAATAGAAATCTCGTAAAAAATGTTTATAGTAAAAATGTTAATAGAAAGTATGTGGGTTCATAATGTTTAACTTTTGAAGATTTGCTCCACTAGCCTTATTACTATGTATTACCATATGCCAAGCCTTTGTAACAGAAGTTAATTACAGAGTGTGTATCTTTTGAGTGTCTCAAGCTTTGAGCTTTAAATTCCTTTAATATTTTTTAAATGTAGAAACGGTTGCTTTGAAATGTTAAATGCACAAGCTTCTGTGAATGAAAACAAAACCTTTACTTAATGGGAGTGCTAAAATCAAAGGGGAGAGAGGACCGAAGAACTTTTTGAGGTTCATGACAAAAACTTTGTCGCTTTACGACTAAACACCCCCCCCCCCCAAAAAAAAACCAAACCACCAAAAGAAACACCCAAACTTCCCACAAGCTTTTCTGACTGAAATTGCTACTGTGTTGCCTACTACGTCTTTTTCGGCTCTCCCTCCTCGGCATTTTATTTCTTCCGAAACGCAGTGGTCCCTTCCTGAGGGCATAGCTGGCTCTGTGCCTCCGAACGCAGAACCCCTCCCCTGGGGCTGCGGTACCTGAGCACAGATAAGTTTCTTCTTTTTGCCGTGTCCCATTGGTATTTCCTTGCCGTGCTTTACAAAGCTGATTTTAATTTTTATTTTATTATTATTTTCGGCTGTCAGCTATACCCGCCCTGCCGCTAGGGCGCATGCGCCGGGGCCGGGTCGGCATTGGCGGGCCCGCCCTGGCCCACCCCGCGCGCTACCCAGGAGCCCGCGCGCCGCGCCGAGGTCAAGATGGCGGCCAAGGCGTCTGGTGAGGCGGCGGGGGCGCTGGGGGGAGGGCAAGGGGGCCGGGTCCGTCCCTGTCCTTGACCCCGACCCGCCTGCGGCGCTGGGTTCACCCCGGCCCACGCTGGGCAGCGAGGCGGGCCGTGACGGGGAGAGGGCGAGCCGGTATGCACCGTGTGCCCTTGACGGGGACAGTGAGTGCCGGTTCCACGGTCGCCGGGCGAGTCTCCTCGCCGGCCCTTCCGTGGTAGCGGACGGCGCCTGGCTCCGATGCCTGAGCTTTCTGGGCGTAGAGAATGCTCGGGAGCACCAGAGGAAGCCTTGGGCCGCTCATGAGGGGCCTCGGGGATTGCTGTCCTGCGCAGATACCGACTCGGCGCACTGCTGGTCTAAGGTTATTGCTTGTCTGGCCCTAAAGGACGAACGATTACCTAACTAACCTGCTGAGATAGTGCACTAATGACCTCCTGTGGAGTGTTTTGGGGCTGATGTGGTAAGATAGATGGCTCAAAAGTCACGTAAAACAGCTTGCCCGCGTTGGGCCGTTCGTGGCCTTCTAGACCCCTTGTACTTGATTATGTGTAAAAGCACCTCTGCCATCCCAAACCACATTTAAAGGAAGGTGAACACGCTATATGTGGTGCGGAGGTTTGGTGTTTAGTCTGATTGATTTGTTTGGTTGGGTTTTTTTAGGTTTTAGTGTGGATTTCGTGGTTGACTTTGGCAGCTCCTTGAAAAAGGAATAGCATTCAAGTGTCTGGAGAGGGGAGTGGAAGGTTAACAGCATAATAATATGTTGGGCTTGAAGTCACATAGTGAAAGCTGAGGAACTTAGATCAATTATCAGAAAAGCCTGATGATTTTGCTTTATGTAGACACTATGGGTTTGGCTCATGTAAGTGTTAGGGATTCTAAGAGTTTTGTTGCTGTCTTTGATGAGGAATTGGTAGCATTTTTACAGGTCTTATAGTAGCCCAATATTAAAATTTAGTGAAATAGATTAAACTTGTACATAATGAGCAATCTTCTACCTGTTCAGTGTCAGTTATGGGATACAGAGAAGTAGAGGCCAAGTCATATATGGTCAAATTAAGACTTGATGCAATATTACGTTACTGAATGTGTTGGAGGCCAGCAAATATTTGTGTACTGCCACAATAACGTGTAAATGTTGAATTTTACCTTGCTATGCAACTGATGATGGTCATGTTCAGTTGCAGGAGGTGGTCGCCTGTTAGAAAGGATTCGCAAGTGGTATTACAATGCAGCTGGGTTCAACAAACTTGGTAAGTGTGTCATTGAGTTTTAAAAACTGCAAATGTAACAGTTCTCAAACTACTTATGTTTCATAGCTGGCATATGTACATGCAGGTTGGCATAAGTATTTTTGATCAAAATTAGCTACTATTTCTGTGGTGAAAAAGGTTGGCAGTAGCTTCATTTATTTCTGTGTTTGCTCGTGTTCTAGTGAATTAACTTATAACAGCTAAGGCCAAGCTGTGGCAGTCAAAAAACTTCCACAAAGCAGTCCTGAAAACTCAATTACTTACATTTCCCCACCGAGTCACTTTCACTGGCCAGTGTCTTCTAACCCAAAGACTGCCCTTGAAGCTGGAAAGGTTCCCACTGATAGTAGTCAGCCTGTCTACAGTACTTATGCGAAGTATCCAAAGTGCAAAAAAGATTATGGTTATTTTGCCCTTTGTGTCACCATAACTTCAGCTGGTGTCACTCTGGCCTGCACAGTGGGGGAATAGGTGTCAAAACAGGGCTTCCTTAAGGAGAAGAGGGTCCCTTAATGGTATTGTCTCTGGTTTTTTCAGAGTTGTTACCAAGTTTGTTTCAGCCATTTAGATTGCAGAACAGTTCTTGCATGACAAGAATCTGAATATTCAGATGCTGACCACAATACAAGCAAATCTCTTAAAGGAACTTAACACACCTGCCCTGGGGAAGTTAGAAAAAAATTACAAGAAAACTGTACTCAAATGAACTTAGATCCTTCCTCCAAAGATGCAATGCTTAGTTCCTCTTTGATAATGCCCATCTGCTGAAATTTTTACTTCTGCTGCTTCTCTGGAAATGTGAGTAAAAAATTAGAGAAACACCAAATTTAATATAGTGATTAAACTAGCAGCAGTGCTCCCTGTGCCTTTGAAACAAATTACAAAGCTGAATTTAAGAATATGTGATTAAAAAAAAATTTGTTTTATTGAGACACTACTGCCAAATCAGTCACATGAGATGAAATCCTTTAACAACAAGTCAGTAGGTATGTTGTAGTAATCATCTTGGAATTGGCTACAGAAGTAATATTTTGTTCTGTTTTGTTAATACTGAACCTTAGAGAAAGGTTGGTTGAATTTCAAGAATCCTTTGTTCCACAGAAGGTGTGGGAATGTTCTGAGTTTTCAGAAGACTGGGTGTTTGTTTCTTCCTGATTTAACTTCTAGTTTGGAACTCACGCACCAACGTAGAGCTTCAGGTTTCTGTAGCTTCATAAAGCCGGCAGAGATCTGCTCATTATGAACAGGAGAGTTTAGAGAAAAATCTTTCAGGGTGTACTCAAGGAGTCTCATTTGTAGCTGACTGATTCTAATGGATTCAGAGGTCTCAAAACCCTTTACCTGGGCAGTCACCTTAAACAGAGATATAAAATTAGATGCACATAAGTTCACCCCTTAGAGCCAGAGAAGTTTCTCTTCTGTATGTGTATATTCTCATGAAATA